CAAAGTAAATCCATCATATAAACAAGTAGAGAGGATTTGCACTGCTTCCCAAAAGAGTTTGGACTCCTGGTGGGAGCTCATTTCTGTGTGAGTGACCACAAAATAAAGCTCTTAGGTAATACAGTGATAGGTACTCAAAAATATGATAGATGGAGAACAAAGATTAGCTCTACTTTATGTACAAGTCCATTACATTCTTGATCACATACTTTAATGGCAAAGCAGCTGCAGAACTTGCAAATTACAAGCTCTAGCTTTGTCTTCAGAGCTGCTGCATAAATAGTTGTTTTTAACAACTCCAGGCAGGCACTTCTTTCCGTAAATTGTCCTAAGAGTGCGCTGTGAGTCTGCAGCAAGGAATTGTTCCCAAAACTTCAGTATCATCTAAACTGGAGAAGTGCATTATCCATCCATTTCCCTATTTGTGTTTTCCCCATGGTTCCTTGTAGCAGTTATTGTGCTGGGGTTGGAGATCATCGTGCCCAGGGCTGTTGAATGAGGTCCTCAGTGCTCATCTGCTTTTTGTCTGGAAGAGCCCTCTGCAGATTCAATCTATTTCAGCTATTACCTTTCCTGCCTTTGTTAAACTGTTTTTACTGCACATTTAGATAAAGCCTGGCTGGCTACTGCCAGGAAAATTAGGTCTTCTGTTGTTTTACCATGAATTATAGAGTTCAAGATAAGGTTTATGTTAGAAAAGTAGGGGGCAGGAATGGTCTGAATTTTACTTTCATTATAATTAGACAGGAAATTATGAAAAGGTGAAAAATAATTCACTGAAGAGCTTTCCTCTAGCAAGGTAACAAGAAAAGCACATTCTGGCACAGACGGAGTTCATGGGATATTATTGAACACTGTGGCTCTCAGTGTTTGGCTCTGCCTGGGCACAGGGAGCCTGTTTCTGTTGCACTTCATGTGTGGGCAGAAATGGGCAGGATGGGGCCCTGTGACTTCCCTTCTGTTCAACTGAGGGCCCTTTCTGCTACCAAAAAAAATGAGTCTAAATAAGTCCTCAGTGTAACTCCATGGAAGCCGTTTGAATGACTGCAGAGATTAATTGGAATGATCAGTCACTTTCTGAGTAACTTGCAAAGGACATGAAAATATGACTAATCTAAGAATGAATTAATTGGACAGCTGTCTCACTGTCATTTGAATGCTACTGACATAAACATTTGGACTAAGAAGTTGTCCTCATTAGAACTTCTTCACTTGATGTTGATGGTGATGTTTACGACTACCATGGAACTACGATGTTTTCAGAATTTTCCTTCATGTGAAATTACTACAGTTCAGGCTTTTAAAGGCACTTTTACGGGGAGGAAAAAGGAGTGCATCAATCTTGCTTGGAGCTTCTAACTAAAGACTGACTGTGCCAAAGCCTCTCAGGTTATAATTCCTTCTTGTAATAAACCTTTGGTAGTCGACTTCAGGCAAGTTTCTACCACTTCTTTCTTTTCACCTTTGCAACCCGATTTATTGGTTTGTGTTCTGCAGAAAAAGCAGAACACTGGGAGAGAAGTCCTCCCAGTGAGTCTGTGGCAGAAGACCACTGAAGTTAATGAGACTCTTAGTGGGGATAAGGTTTTTGTCCATTCAGAGTCAACAGAAGCTTCAGAAACAGTATAATTCAGGTGAAAGCTGGGAAAAGGATGTATTTCTCTGCCTTGTTAGTGGATAAGTGAGATTCCAAGGGGACTGAGTGATTTACCCATAGGCACACAGCAAATCAGCAAGAGATATGGAAATTAATGCTGAGAAGCATTTCAGTGCCTTAATCATAAAGCCAATCTTTTCCCTCAAATGCCAACACCATTAAATTTCAATAATGGAATAAGCACAAGAGTTTCATTGACTTACAGTGATGTTTCCATCAAAATAGTTTAGAGGGAAGCTGGTTCCAGTGGAATTGTTGGTCAGTATTGTGACCTATATCCAGCTGCAGAGATCAGCAGTTGTAGGGACCAGGGATTGTAGATGAACTTAAGCAAATTCACCCGTGAGATTCCTTTCAGGATCACATCATGCTAAGGCTGGAAAATGCAAGGTCAAAAAGGAACTAGGTGTGTTTTATTATATTTATCACTAATTAGTGGGTTTTGAAAAAACTGGACTGAAATATTGTCTTGTTGGGAAGCCATTAAACTGTTAGGTTGAGGGAATATATGGCTCAGAATAGGAATGATTCACATCTCTTGCCTACAAATAAATCACTTGTACATCACATATCTATTTGACCATCTCTGAACAGTATCAATGTGGTACCAAGGTAGCTGCTAAGAGAAGCACGTGTTGTATAAATCCCTAACAGCCTGGGCCAAAGTCTGTTTTTATTTAAACTAGCTTCAATTCATTTTGTCTTAATTGAAAATAATGATGTTAGAGCAGTGATCAAAGAATTGTCTCATTAATTGTCTATTAAATCATTAGCTATTAAACAGGAATAAAAGGTTAAGAATGCAACACTCTATTCTGCCCAAAAGAATATGAATATCTCTCCAATTACAAAGAAACAATAAAAGCAGAATTAACAGTGAACAGAAGCTTAAGATTAGGTAATTAGATCCAAAATGCCTGACAACTCTGATTAGAGGGTTTAGCAGTACAACCTATACAGAAAAGGCAACACCAATTCAGAAGCAAAGTCAATATTGACTTTACCAAAGGGGCTTGTAAAGGGAATATGCATTTTTCTGAAAAAATACAGGCACATAAACCCTGTACTAAATTTTAACTCAGCTAATTAATTGTTATGGATTCAATCTTGCAACCAATACATATATTTGCAGTTAAAAAATTATGCCTGAACAGCATTCAGTCTGAGAGCACCTCAGTAATTTGTGACTGAAATCCATTAAAAGTATGTTGCAATTTTCAGAAAAACAACATTACTCCCATTTTATATCACCAGGATGAGGCAATATCTAGTCAATGAAGACCACAATCAGACCTCTTGTTTTTGTTCATTAAGTCAAAATAGAGAGACAGGTACCAGGTCTGGGAAAGGGTCCCAGAGACATTCTCCACTCTCAGGGGTTTGATGCCCAAATAATTTCGCAAAGCAGTCAAATAAAGAGCTGATTTATACCAACTTAGTCACTACCAAAAAATACTGGCAAATTATAGTGCAAATCTTATGAACCCTGTGCAGAATCTTGGCCTGTGTTTTGGTCTGCTCTATCCAGGAATGGGAAGACACTCATCAGCCTGAGGGTGCTTTGGAGCAGATCTAATTCCACCGAGATGGACAAAGTTTTGAAAAAGAGAAAAGGAAAGATGGTCAAAGGGCAAGAGCTTTGCTGTATTGAAGTGTATAAATCCACAGCTGCAACTGGAAATCTTGTCTCTGCTCACAGAGGTCATGTCAAGACTTATTTAGTCGCCAGCTGTAGTGGACCTATTAAATTTGGGAACCAGAACAATTTTATGTCCAGCCTTGACAGGATACCCATAAGGACAACTGCTGATTGAATAAAACGGGCTTTAAAGAGGCAGTGCTCTGAAATGCAGCATCTCTCCACAATCTGCAGATACTAATTCTACTAATCAAAGAGGAATGGGAGTATTTTTCCTGACCTTTTCCTATCTGGTTCAGCCCAGAGAGGTACTGTCTAACTACAGCAAGTCCTAGAAATACTAGAAACTCAATTAATAGAAGCAAAAGTCCCCATACACCATCTTTTAGATCTGGATCTGTTTTTCTGAAGTGCAAAGAAAAGATAGTCTCAGTAATATGTTGATGATATATAACTTGTTGCTTGAGTTTATAATCTGAACAAGTCACTGTTCATATTTATCAACTGATAAATAATAGCCACTAGTCAGATAATAGCTATGTGCCACCCAGCAAAAAAAGGAATAACAACATTTATCAACACAGTTTGTTTATTTGACAACTAATTATGTTAGTCATAAAGAAAGATATTCATCCATGTTCCTCTGGTAAGGATCTTCAAAGAAATTTGGTTTCCAGAAAAAGAAAATGGGATTTTTTCTTTCCCTATCTGATATAGAAGGAAAAATATAGAACTCATAAATAATACCAAAAAAACCCCCATCCCATACAGAACTCACTGTAGTCAATTCTTAAGTTCATTTAAAACAAGAACACTCCCATACCACATAATAAAACAAGTTAACCTATTAAAGATATTCAAAAGTTCCTCTTTTATGCCTAGAAACAATAATGAGCTAAAAGCTGAAAGCCATGCAATGGTGTCAGAAGTCAGGCAGTCAGTGTCATGATAAAGTCCATTAATGCTATTTTCATCTCAATGTCAGGGAGGCAGAAGCAGATGAAAATAACATTTACAAAAAACCAAAGAAACAAACAAACCATGACATTGTTTAAAAGCTCCCAGCTCTCGTTTTAAGAACTTTTGCAATGTGGTTGTTATTTTCTATTCTCTGTCATGCTTCATCTTTAATTATAAGAAACTCCTGACTGGAAACTGGTGATATAGCCAGAAGCACGGAGGAAATCACCCTGTATGCTGTTACAAAGTACTACAGCAATAATGCTGGGAAATAATGGGTGCAACAAATCCACCCAAGAACAAAGACCCCTTTGGAAAGAGTTGGTCTTTCCTAAATGCAATATATCAGCTACACGCTCCTTCTCATCAGCACTGACTGGCCAGCAAAGAAAGACTGGGACAGCTCTTTTAGTATCCCTGGCCCTTTCTTCCACATGGAACAGACCAGCTCAAACAACTCTGCATCAGTCTGTTGAAATGTGCTAACCCTGCATGACCTCTGGAAACCCTCCCAGTGCACAGTGGGTACCACTGCCCACCACAGAAACAGCCATCCCTGCAAAACAACTGCTTGATGGAAAATCCCAAATGTGGGCCAGGTCCCAGTGTGGTGGTGGTGGAGGAGAAAAGGGTGAGAACTCCGTCCTCCACCTCAGATGGTGCCTTACCTTTATGACATCTTCATCAGCTGATTTGCACTCGATGGAGTCCGAAACGTCCACCACGGACCCATCCTCCTGCACGGCAACGACCTTGACTGGAACTGACACCATTCTGCCCGTCAGAATGGCCGTGTTGAGGACCTCTGTGTCCTGCATGCACAGACAAAGGGAGGATGGGTGTTAGAGAAGCACAAAACCACGAGAATGAACCAACCCTGCCTCTGATGGGGACAGGCGCAGAGGTGGGACCCTCCCTTGCACACACCCTTCAATCTCCCTGCAGAAGCGGTTTAGCAACTTTCTAAGTCAAAAGTTGCATGTGAACAGTCAAGGTTTGGTTTTGACGAACGTGGATTTCTTCTTTTTGAGCTCATTTACAGGTTTGGCTGCAGTGGCAATGAAATCTGTGATGCAATGAGGCACAAAGGCCTGTCTGCAGCTCAGGAGAACCACAGCACTACTCGGGTAGGATCTCCAGGGTGTCAGCGACTCCTCCCACCCCTTTGCCCCAAGTCATACCAGTGATTTGAGAGGTGATAATCAAGCATTACAATAACAGCATTTCTTCCTCACTGTTCCAGCTGACAGCGTTGTTGAGTTGACCAATTTCCCTTTTCAAAACATAAAATACACGAGGAGAAAAACTATGCCTCCATACACAGGGTTTTTTTAATCTTTCCCCATCAAAATCCCACCTAGAGATGTTTTACCACATTTATCTCTAGCCCTGATGAATTCACAGTGCTGGCACTCTAATGACTCCATTAACACAGCCTTCCTCTGTGTCTCAGTATGGCTGCAGTTTGATTAATTACTCCAAATGAGTTGCTTCAGAGGTCCCTGCCTTGTGTAAGCAGGTATGCAGACTGGAGGGGAGCAGCTTGTCTCTGCATAAGCAGTGCTTACTGCCAGCCCAAAACTTGACACACATGCTGGGCAAGGAATGATCTGGGATTTCACAGAGATTCATTCCGGCCGTCTCGAAAATCCTGCAATAGGAAATACTGCTTTGAATCAATCCACTTTTCATTTTTCAACTTCCATAAAACTAATTGCTTGCCAGTTGAGGGGGGAGGAAAAAAAAAAAAGTTGCTTCAAACTAATCTAACTTTAAATTCCATTATTAGAATTGGTGGAAGAAGAAATGGATTTTAGTGAAAAATTTGATGGCAGCTTGCACAGGGAGATATATTCACTATCATTTGCTCTGCTGCTAGATTGATGGAGAATAATGGGCATTGACCACAAGCTAAGGACAGCTGGAGAAGACCAATAAATACTTGCAACTAAGATGTATTATTAATCAATATTCAGAAACTTCTACAAAAAGCGCCCTGAATTAAATGAGCTGAAGTACTAATAACACTAGTGCCAGCTAACTAATAGTCTACCAGAGGTTTATGGGCAGCCATGTTCCAGAAAAGCATTGAAGCACACACTCGAGTCCATTTCTGATCAGAACAGCACTAAGAGGACGTGCTCAACTCGACACTTAGACTTCAATGTGATTTAAGAGTCATCCTGAAAAAAAGATGCTTTTCTGAATAATACCTCATGAAATAAATATACCCTCTTTGTTCTGTTCTCTGCCAGGCACAAACCAGATGTTTCACGCAGTAAATGACTGTCTAGTTTTTGTTTATGCTGAATGGGCTCATTTATAACCAGCTGCCATCCATGACAGAGGGACACTGGGAAAGAGAGAAGTATGTGACAGAAGTGGAAGTGTGAAAGAACGACTGTAAAACCTGCACAAAGACAGATCTGAAAAAGGTTAAGAAGAAAATGCATTGCCAGGTGAAAGAAAACACTTAGGTGCACCTCAGGTGGAAAAAGGTTGTATAAGACAGACAAAGAGAAGCTGAGGGTAATTCATCCACAAGCATGTCAGAGAAGAGAGAGTTAGATTTCACCAAACCAACTGCAAATATTCCATATATCCTAAGCCATCAATCCAATATAAACATATGCCAGATATTTGATGAAGACCTGGTGGTCCTGTGTCAAAAGGGTCCCAAGGACCAGTTTGCCAGTATGTTATTTCTAAGCCATTCTCCAACAACAGGCAGTCTTCTTCAGGGCATCTGGGGAAACACTATTTTGGCCAAGGTCACAAACAATGAACACAAGGCTAATTCCACTTCCAAACACACTCTGTTAGCACAGCAACTCCTCCAGGTCAGGCAGGTAGCACTTGTATGCAATTACAGTCCAAAGCCCTACCAAGTCATAGATTAAAGGCTTCTTTGGACTTCAGTGGACTTGGAACCAGGTTCTCAACAGGCCTGAACCAACTTCTCCTTTGGTTTTTGTGCTGTTCGCTCCTGTTGACCAGCATGTGTGACAAAGGAGAAAAAACCTCTGCCTCCTTTGAACCCTAAGTGCTGTTTAGCTACCAAAGCTGAAGTCTGACTTTGATGTGCTGAAGGATAATGCAAAGTTTATAAAGACATTTGCATTCCTTTCATAACTCCCTGTGAAGATGAGCATGAGACGAGTAAAAGCACAAGAACTGTCCTGAACCTTCTCCACTTCCCAGTGCGTACAGGAACCCACTGTGCTAATTAGCTGGTGCTGCCTCACAAAAACTACACTTCACTGTAAGCAATTCCACTATAGAAATCAATATTTCAGATGCCTGATGCCTGGAGTGAGTGTTACACAAATATAATAGGCTGTAAAGACCTTTTTAAGAGCCAGCTATTTAGAGACTGAAAAAATATATTTCCTCTGAGGAAGAAATACGGACTAATGGACTGTCCATTAGATTTATAAACAGACTTTTTAGTGCATCTCCAACAAGTAATAGCATTTCATCTAAATTCTGTTAGGCTTGGTCTGTGTCTCCATAGTAGGGTTTACTGCAGGAAAAAAAAGTTACTGAACTTTAGATACCTGTGCTGGTCATTACTAACAGCATCTCAAATGTAGGGAGGGGATTTACACAGGTATGTCCCTCCATGTGGCACAGCAAAAGTGAAACATCAGGAACTACAACCAGGGACCACCAGCACAAACCTCCAACTGTGGACACTTCAAGGTGGAAAACTGGGAATCCTTCCCCATTTCTATTGTTGAAGGTTTCAGCTGCCAGATCTTGACCAAAACCTTCAACTCAGCAGCCTGGGTGGAAGCTACACACTCATATCACAGGCTCTATCCATGAATAATAATAATGTGCGTGTTTATCTCCAGCACTTTCTTGGTACCTGAATGCATAAGCACTTCAGCAGAGCTCTTCTTAATTACAACTGTAACCTGCTAATAGCATTTCTTTGTTGTCTGAAGGAATCTACTTCTTATGCAGGCTAGGCTAAATTAAAATTTAATACAACATCAGGTCGCAACAGAACTAGGAAGCAAATGACAGCTGTTTAATTAAAACCTAAAGCTGATTAGATGGCACTACTGAGAGAAATACTCAAGAGGAAGAGCTGAAAACCACTGAAACTCTAGGCCAGGATAATGGCTTTATTTAAATATGAATAAAGGCTGCACACAGCCATAGTAAATGTTTGACAACTGGTTGCTTCGGACAAATGGGGGGAAATGTGAACGGCAGATGTGTCAGAAGTCTTGATAGAGCTGTGACTGCAAACACTGCTGTTACCTGTGGATGTGACCAGAAGCAAGGATTACTGAGGAATGACTCCAATAGGTAGGTACAAATCAACTGAGGAACTCTAGGCATAAAGTTCCCAATAATTACACTTTAAACAACACCCTGGTGACCTAAATCCTCCTTAGACAGGTGACTAGAGCAGCTCACCCACCTCCCGTAACCCAACATGATGCAGCTTTTTCCCCCTCTTTTGGCTGAAAAATAAAGGCGCAGAGAAATAGATTACACATCTCACAAGAAAGCATCTCAAGAGCCAGGAGCTGGACACAAGTTACCCAGACCCCAGCCCAAAGCCACCAGTGCATGATTCCTGCCCCTCTGGGAGCAGCCAGCATCCTTCCCACAAAGTCTGGCGAGGCACAGAGGTCCCACACCAACCCAGTTTGCTGTGACGTGTATCATCCTTGTGATTAATGCACGAGCTGGTTGTGTTTTTTTTAGAGGTTAACAAAACCTGCTACAGTACAGTAAACCCAATAAACACTCAATTGTAAATCAGGAGGGAAACCTAAAGCCAACCCTATTCCACTGACAAATGCTACAGCTAAATGCCTTTTGGCATTTAGCTGAAATGACTGTCTTTAGTGAAGAAGGCAGAGAGCTGGAACATTTGTCTGTAGAATTGCATTCCTTCATTATTATGTCTTTCCCCAGAGTGTACCTCACAAAAATACATTTGTAATATTAGAAGGAAACTTTAGGAACCAGTTCTTCTGCCTGGAAATGACATCTCCTAAAAAAAATGTAAATTACAGGGCAGATTGTGAGGTGTGGGTTGGGCTAGGGGAGGCTTTTTTATTTGATAAATTATTCACCACCTTTTTCTTCAGATCAAAGAGCAAGGCAATATAAATCCATTAAGCAAGCTTAATATATAAATTAGATGCTTTGCTGAAATTATTGTAATCCAAAGCAATTCTGTACTTTCCCCACCTCATGGCTGAATACCATTTTAGGTTTTCCATACATATTAATGAGGCATAGCTGTGAGAAAGCTATCTATATTTTCTATTATAGCAGGTAAGATATACCATTTTGTCACCCAATGGTGAGAACAAACAACTGAGATTATGTGTGTATGAAACAATAGAAAACATAAACAATCTTGCAAAGAGCTGATGCTGTTCTTTGACCCTTTTTCCTTCTCCTTTTCCTTTTCTTCCTCTCTCCTAATAAAGGGCTAGTTCCTTGCATCATCATTTCAGTGGAGCCACTTGTGGAATCAACTCTTTACCAAGTTTCCAGGTGTCAGCATGGGTCCCCCTGCCCTGACAAGCCAGAAGGTTGTTCCCACTCCCCTACAACATTTTTCTGTCTCTGGTTGTTTCCTCCTTTCAGCCTCTTGCCCAGCATATCACTGTTAGAAGGGATCAGTTACGACAGATGGCAAATCACAAATACTTCAGGCTATTGTATCAAAGTTAAAGGTCATCCTTTATCTCCTTTGTTTACCTGCATAATAGCTTTATTTCATATGGGGATCCCAAAGGAAGAACAGGCAGGTGCATATATTCTGCAGGAGAAATTAATTAATGCAGATTGAACCATACACAGAGGTTCCTAATCATTGGTCCTTACCCAACAATGGAAGCAGCAACCATCAGCCTAATTGAATATTATTCTAGATGTGTATCGGTGTGTGCTGCAAAACCAATTTGCTGTAGCACAAAAAAGCATGATCCAGAGACTCCAAAGTGGAATCTTATTTTGTAACTTGTCTTTTTGCCACAGATACACTGAAGGAAGCTCTTATCTTAACAGAATATACCTGGCACACGCAGTCAGCTGGAGTGGTAACTCTGTCTTGGAGTTCATGGAAACTAAAAGCTGAGATTTATTCCATTTTGTGGTTTTTTTATGAAGGAAATTCAGCTCATTTTGAGGTTTATGTAGGATGAATAAGCAAAACCTGCTGCTGAAGGTGAAACCTGATTAGACTCACAGATACTGTCATATCTGTGACCTGAGGCAGTTTTATTTTATTTTTGATAACTCAGAACAGATCTGCCCCCATTAAGCAAAGGTTCAGAACACAGCCTGGTGCACTTGGCAGAAGTAATTGCAACCTGCCAGGCAGTCTCCACTGTCTCAGCTAAGTACCAGTCCCTTCTGCATGAGCAAAAGACCTTTCCTGAGACTGGGCTCCTGCTATTTCCCTTCAGCACATTATATCCCAGTAGAGTTTATTCACCAAACCTGCTGCATTAGACATTGTGACACCATTGCTCTGAAGTGCATATCTGAGGTAGAAGGAGCTGGAGAGTGACTATTATGCATATGATTTTAGTTGTCTGCACAGAGAACAGACACCAAGAGCTCCTGAGTCGTGTTTCAGGACTTTTAGTACACCAAGAATTACAGGACCAAAAGTTTGGTGAACTCTGCCAGTGATTCAGGCTGGAATTTACACTGTATTTAGAAATCTGTGCAGTGTTTCAGCATTCATCTGACAGACTTGAGCCAGTTCTTCTCAACAGTGAATGACTGATAACCATTTTAAGACATATTTAAAACTCCACAGTTCATTTAAAGATACTGGTTTTTTCCGTTTTTATTCCAGAAAAACCTAATCACATTCTGACTTAGTAAAATTGTGGGTCACCTCCAACTGAAATCAAACAATATCCCCCTATATGAAAGTGAACACAAAGCGTGTAGAGTCATCTGCTCAAGAGCAGTGAGCCTCAGTTCAAACTGATGCACTAATGATTGTTTTCAAATGGCCATGAAATAATCAATATAAACAGCTCTCAAAGGCATTTTTTTTTCCGCAGAGGAATCTAGGGAGGCCATGCTTTGCCTAGTTTATGGAACATAATTATCAGATCCACTTGAGTACCAACAGTCATCAAAGACATCATTTTCTGGCTCTGTATCTTTGCCCCACAGGTTTAATAACATTTAACAACACTGGGGATGGCCACTTTGAAAAGTTTCTTTCGGGCATTTCTCTAATTCTTTTACT